TTCTTAAGCCATTTACTTCATATTAGAGGAATAACAAGAGTATATTAATCCTCTGAACAAAATATAACCTACTTAGTGATTCATAAGTATGTGATAACTGCCATAATTTTGTACTTCAGACCTAAGTATTGATTATTGATATTTTATGTGACATAGTTTAGAAAGGCACATTTAGCATACCCAAAACATATTGCCACTAAAAATTGGTGGTAAGTTGTGTGATAATTAGAAAGACAGAAATCAAAATTGAAGGGTTCCTCTGGAACAGTGCAAACCTGTTCAGACATGGGGTAAAAATCAAAATTACAAGAATATGTTTAGGTCTGGGATGAGAGAAGGAATAAATGATGGCTGCGCCTAAAGAGTGAGTTTGGTTCCCTAGCAAGCAGTTTAAAAAGCTGGGCATGGCAGTGCTCACCCATAATCCCAGCCCTGTGAGGCAGGAAAAAAAGGAGATGGTTTATCATGCTGGGAAGGTATGGATTGGCTACCCAGTCTAACCAGGTGGTGAGCTCTAGGGTCGGGGAGTGACCCTGCCTCACACAGTAGAAAGCAGAGGGAGAGGATACCTCCATAGGCACATGCAGACATGCTTAACACACACACACACACACACACACACATACACACACAGGGAGGGACAGAGAATGAACTTGTCCACTTGGACAAAGAGAAAGGAAAAATAGGCTGTGAAGAAAAGCCTGTTGGCTCTCTGACTGAATACCCAAGATAGAAGAAAGGAATAGCACAGGGTACAAACGGGATCGCAAAGGTCGGTCCAAAGGCACATCAACAGAAACAGATCTCTCCGTTTCCAAAGACAAAAGAGCAGGCTTTAATTGCGCTTCATATCAAGTAATCCTTGCCATTTTTTTTTTTTTTTTTACACTCGCAGGCTGCACAGTGTTCCAAGTTAATGAGGCAACAGAGCTCTGTTGTCCCTGTCCCCTTGTTGTTGTTGTTGTTAAATAGAATCCCCTCCCTCGTGATTCCAAAGCCACAAAGCAACTGTGTTCAGTGACCAGCTGTCTTTGGGGCTTTGAAATTGATTTTCCTCATCTCGTTCTCTGATAGTCTGTCTTCAAGTGTGCTTCGCTAGTCCATTGCCAGAGTGAAGACAGCAGCACAAACAGCTGAGGAACTGGAGGCAGGCATCACGCAGGGCATCATTAGAGACATCAGAGTCGAATCACCCAACTCCGGTGTGCTCTATGTTAAAAAGCAGCCGCTGGCTCTTTATTGCTAAGTACAGTGTGGGGCATCCTCACATGAGTCGCTTCTCCTTTTCCATTCCCAAATATGGTTTGAGGAGTGAAGAAAAATATCGGTCTTTATTCTGCCAACCTCATATGGAAGGCAGGTGAAAAACATGCAGGATTTTTTTTTTAAATAATAATTTTTTGCAGAATTTTTATATGTGAGAAGCACATTCCCATAGCTGAATGGCCTGGCCAGGAGCTGTAGGACAAGAGGCTAAGACATGCAGAAATGGGCCTCACGGAGAATTAGGTAACAAGGTCACTTTCCCCTATGGAAAGTCATTATACATGCTTTGTACGGCTGAATTTCAATGTTCATGAAGCACTTGTGAAGTTCTAAACATAAAAGAAGTGCTATATTGAACCTTAGGGAATGCACACAAGGGCTTAAGGGCTTGTATTGACGATAACATAAACCTCATGGTGCTTTCTCTTTTATACATTGCAATGGTAAAGGCATCGATCGGTATCTTTCAAAAGATGACATGCTGTCCAAACCTCAACACCAGCCCAGGTCTACCAGATGTGGAACCACATGTTTTCTGCTATAGCAAATACAAAGGCATGACTTTTCCTTCTATGCCTAAGAACATGTACACATATGTCTTACTGTGTCTATTCTGAAGCTTAATTTGACCTGAAGGGGTCAGTCATCATGCAAATGATGATTTTGAAGTAAACCAATTTAAAACTTTGGTGAATCTTCCCTTATGTATTAGAAAGGTATCTGAAAATCTTGAGTGGCTGTTATTTTAAAGTGTAAGGCACTGTGGGGAACTCCTTTTTCAGTACTTTCTAAATATGGACATTAATTATGCCCTGTGTTGTCCATGCCCTAATCTGAGTCTCTCCTAATTTCGGTAGACATGTAGATAGATAAAGAGAAAATACCTCACTTCTAGGAATAAAAGTAACTTCCCACCCCTAAAAATTCATGCTTTCTTTTGCAGTAGACAAAGCAAATGTGTGCTTTTAATAAATTAGAAGCTCTTTGGAGGAAATGGGTTTTCAGTTCACTAATATTGCTCAGTGATGTCACTGAGTATCTCAGTATTTGAAAGAGTTCCTTGCCAGGACTTGCCAGTCTCTGTGTGTACTGATGTCTTGGGTTTGCAAATAGAACCAGAGATGTCCCATCTGAAGTCTGCATCTAGTAAACTCATCATCTCATCATGCTTCTAAATATTCACATGCTTAGTGTCTAGTGCTGAGGGCTAAGGTCATGATCGTGAGAGTCTCACAGACTCAGGTTCAAATCGCACCTCTCCTTAGGAAACTATTCAGACCACTTCATATCAGTCAGTGTTTCGTTGCTGTGACAAAATATCTGAGGCATCGAAGGAGCATACGGCTCATTTGAGCTGAGGATTTTAGCCTGCCATTGCCTGCTCCATGGCTTCTAGACGTGTAGCAAAGCAGAATATTAGAATAGGGAGTGTGGACAGGAGTAATGTTCTTACCTCATCGTAGCCAAGTAGGGGGAAGGACAGGTACAGAGAGTGGAGAGAGAGAGAGAGGGGGGGGCATTACCCCAGTGACTTCCTTGCTTCAAGTAGTCTTTACCTCCCAGTTTTGACCACCTGCCAGTAATTCCATCACATTCTGACTCCTCCATTGGGTAGAAACACTGATGCATTTAGTAATCATGTGACCACCACGCTAGGTGAATTCCACCGACTAAAACCAGCCATCTTGTTATATTCCTCGAGGCTGCCAACCCCTCAAATATGTCTTTATCGTTTCTTTTTAAAGCACTAACATACCTAAAATCATGAGCTTGTTCCCTCCTCTGCCCAGCACACCCGTAGCACTTGCTATGTTTGAAGTATGTTACAGTCTTCTACAGTCAATTTAAATCTCACAAGCCCTATGACATAAATACAGAGAGGTTAGGGAAGATTTTAAACGTTAGCAGTCTAGTTTCCCAGGTCTGGGCTGTGAAGTCCTTAACCTGTTTGATATATTTAGCCCTTTTAAAATACACAGTAAGCGTGTGAGTGTTAAAATGGAAAATACTTAGCTGTGAACCCCATAAATGCATCTTAATAAAGGCTATTCCATACTATGGCAAAGAATGAAAAGACCTCTTTAACCTCTTGAATGTAAAAAAATTATAGCCTGCTGACTGCATTGGACACTCTCGAATAGGATGTAATAATAGTTCATATTAAGGCTTGGGATGTGAATGGTATTGTCATGCCAAATGAAAGCCAGAAAACACGAAGTGTTTTTACATTTGAATACTTTTTTACAGTTAACAAGAATCTAAGAGAACATGAAATTGAGATGGTCGGGGGGGGGGGGGTGTCACAGGCAGGCTTGAAGGGGGAATGGGGATTTATGTGCTCAAAATACACTGCATACATGTATGGAATTCTCTAAGACTGAACGAAAAAGTAAACATAAAAGAATCTTAGAATCTGTCACCTTTTCCAGAAAATTTCTTACTCAGTTCTCTTGTCATCTGTTCCTTAAATCTCTCCCTAAACATTTCTAGACTGCAATTTTGAGGCCGGTTGCCCAGTGCTGTACCGTTCAGTTAGGGAATCTGTCTCTATGTAACCTGCAGCGGCTGGGCTGACCTCTCCATTTCCTTAGGCTTGGTTTTAAACTATATTCTCTGAGTCTCTCCCTCCTCCAGTCCCGATAAGGTTTACCTTGTTGATTACATTTGACACGTGCTAAGAATAAAATAGTTGACCACCACAGAGATTCAGCCAGCTGCCCTTGTCAGGCTCAAGAATCCCCAGCAATAGGGGAGCAGGCTAGAATGAGAACACTTCTGTGGACACCTGGGAAGTCAGTGAGGCAGCAGAACACGGGCAGGACATGGACACATGCTTCTACATAAGCACACATTCTCCTGGAATGTGCATACAAGCACAGCTATAATATGAGTTATAAAGAACTACTCATGAGGCCATTCATCACCATGCAAGGCAGTTCTCACCTGTATGGTGTCCAAAGATGTCCCAGCATGCTTTTGTTCAGGAGACAGTGTGATTAGGGTAATTACATAGTCTCTCCAGATGTCCACTTAAAACCACGGGGATACTTGTGAGCATCTGCCCTGCTATTCACTGCCAAAATCATTCTTAAGTCACTTTTGTGATATAGTCCTCAAATTAAAACATTGCCTTAAATTTTAACTTTTAAAATAATATGAGGGACAGTGAGATGGATCATGAGTTATCTGCTGATAAGACCAACAACCTTCAGGACATCCTTGGAACTCACACAGAGAAAGGCGAGGACTGGCTTGCACAAGCTGCCTTCCATACATGCTCCATGCTATGGCTGCATGTGTACACACACACACATACCAAACAAAAAATAAATATATGTAAAATATAAATATCATATACACCAGGGCTGGGATGTAGTTCCGCTTGTAGAGTTCTTACCTATCATGTATAAGGCCTTGGGTTTGATGTCATACACCTCATAAACTAAAGGCAGTGTAGCACATACCTGCAAACCCAACACTCAAGATACAGCTGGAAGATTAGAGTTTCAAGGTCAACTTCAGTTACATGGGGAGTTCAAAGCCAGCCCAGGTTACCTTATCTCAAAACAAAATATATGTGGTAAATGTGAGAAAGGGAGGGAAGGAGAGAGAGGGCTGACTCTGGAAGAAACACAGAAGAAAGTTAGCCCCTGTGTGTCTGTGCTTTGTCATATTTTAACATATTCCTACTGTGACATGTCCGTGTCTTATGATGATATCCTCCCTTTCCACAGGCATTTCCTATTCAAAACAGGGACAGGGACGACGCCACTGTTCAGTACGGCAACCCCGGGTTACACGATGGCATCTGGCTCTGTTTATTCACCGCCTACCCGGCCACTTCCTAGAAACACCCTATCGAGAGGTGCTTTTAAATTCAAGAAGTCTTCCAAGTACTGCAGCTGGAGATGCACCGCACTGTGCGCTGTAGGGGTCTCGGTGCTCCTGGCCATACTCCTGTCTTATTTTATAGGTAAGAACAAGATTTAAAACCATTTTTCCTGACCGTTGATGCATTGTAGTATTGCTCTGTTAGTTTTGTTTATTTATTTTGGTCCAGAGTCTACTACTATGAGGTATTATCTTGTAAAGTCAATGATGATGACATGTTTGTTTGTTGGTTTTTGTTTTTTTTGGTTTTTGTTTTTGTTTTTTGAAATAAGGGATTTCTAAGTAATTTCAGTAGATGGGATCTGTAGGAAAACTGGCTTGGTTGGCAGTTCATTTCTATAAGTGCTAAGTATATTCTTGGATATGAATGTTATTGTATGTCTGTTATTTGATGCTGTGAGCCATCACTCATTACTCATATTGGTAACCATGACATTTCCTACAGATGAAATCATTCATGGGTTTGCAGGATTCAACACTATGTAGTAATCTCTTTAATCCATGCTCATTAATTGGGGACTCTGCTATCTGTGGTATTACATGTCTCTCCATGAACTCAGCTGTCTGCATGTAGGTAAATCTCATCACCCAGGATTATTATCTTCTATTCAGGAACACTCCAGAAGACCAAGCATCTTAAAATGATGAATGGTTACATACTCATTCATATATGGGAGGTTTTCACCTCTTGTAATGAATTGCTCATGTTTTCACTTAGTCAAAACCCAGATCCCGGGAGCTCCTGTTTACCTTTTGTTTAACTATTTCATAATGTATTGGAGCGTTTATACTGCCTGCAATGGCTTTCACAAATGTCAGGAACACTACGTGGTATTTTGATCTGCTTCTATGGGAAAGGAAAAGCCCTCCACATTGAAATGCTAATGGTATCCACTAAGATAAATCACAGGCTGTGTGGTTTATACACCAAGAACAACAGCCAGTGATGCATCTCCAAGTTTACAAAGCAATTTGTGATGCCCCATGAAATCCTATCACTAAAGATGAGTATCCCAGAGCTCTGTATAGAATGCTGTATGCTCTTGCAGTGGGCCTCTCTCTGCCAGTCCCTGCAATATCCCTCAGATATAAATTATGTACTCTGCAATGTGAAGTAACCAGTCTGAGTCTCTGTGGTTAATGGGAATGCAGAACTCTAGAGCATGAAAGAACTTGGGAGATAATTGAGTCAGGGATGGCAGCCGTGTGGCATGTTATGGACTGTTATTTCAAATTCTTAGACCATGGATGACATTACTAATGGTTCAGAGCTTAGTTTCACTCTGCACATGGAGACATCCTCATCATCCTCATCAGAGTGCTCAGACAACCATCCAACAGCCCCCCTCTTCAGTCAGAGGAAAGCAGGATGATGTCCACCCATCATTTTTTTTCTACCCAAGTTTACTTCCTTCTCTTAAGAAAGCCAGTACCATACCACCAAAACATCACACCCTGGTGTGACACACTATGCTTTTCATACTCTCAGGTACATATCACAGTTCCCTGGCAGCACCAGTATTAGGGTTCATTTCTAGTGCTCAATCAGAAAATACTCTGGCCATTAAAGTACCCTCTCTGGTTAGCTGCATAAATTATTTGTAGCTGTCAGAAGTGTGCCCCTGACGAATTTAAAATGAATCTGAAATGTGCAAGTCTTAAGTGGAATGTGATCAATTACCCAACTGTGTTTGTAGGGGATTTTTTTTTAACATGGTGCATGCCGTGGCCAAGCTGAGATTCAGTTCTGGATCTGTTGTGATTGGCAAGTGTCTATCCTTGCGATTGTTTACAGGTCAGTTTAACATGATCTTATTTGATTTTTGTAGTATGACTGCCAGAAAAAGTGTCATTCTGTATGCTATTACATGGCTGCCACTTGCATTCTTTCTAAGGGAGCCTGTAGTAAATATAGTTATCAAACTTCTAAATAAAACCTTCAAAGTACCCTCTTTCTTGCATTGTCTGATTCATCAGCATCCTACTTGGTATCGTCTGGTACCATTGATGCACAGTTTTCCCTTTACTTTTTATTTTCTCCATGTGGAAATATGAAAACTGTGCAGCTCAGACACTCAATCCCTCCTTTCAGTTCAGTGTTTACAAGACAAGACAATTGTTTTGGTTGCATTAATGCCATGGGAAGGAAGGAGATAAAATTCCAGCAGTATCTAGCAAAAATTACTTCAGTCATCAGAAAATCCACTTAGAATTTTCACTAACTTTCCTGCATTTAAATGACTGTCACACTAACACAACTGTTTTTAAATCAGATAAACCGTTTTGTTTCATCAGTTCATGTAATAAATCTTTTTTTTTTTTAATTGAAGATGTTGCCTTTCTCCCTTTGAAAAAAGATCAGACCACTTAGACCACATCTTTCAGGGAAGGGTGTCCTTAGCTAGTAAAGTGTGCAGAAATATAGAGGGAGGGAGAGAAGTAGGGAGGGAGGGAGAGAGGGAGGGAGAGAGGGAGGGAGGGAGGGAGGGAGGGAGAGAGGGAGGGAGGGAGGGAGGGAGGGAGGGAGGGAGGGAGGGAGGGAGGGAGGGAGATGCCTGCCTACCTGGCCAGATCCATCTGATAATACACAAGCAGCACTAAGGAGACAGTGTCATCCTCAGATCTACTCCACCCTTCATATAAACGACCCCACCCTTAGGCCTGGTTCTTCCATCTCCCAGGTTGATTGTTAATATGAAACAAACGTTTAAGAAATGAGGGTTTTAAAAAAAAAAAAAGCTGAAGGAATTATTCCAGAATGCACAAGAATGGTCCTTGTACCTTCCAGCATGATAACGAAAGGTTAGGAGAATGTATCTGTCCCTGAGACTTTCCTGAGGTGAAGTCTCAGGAGGGTCAGGGTGGATAACTTCCAAAAGACAGGGAGGAGAGTAGAGTCACTCGGACTTTGCTGTTTGCTTTTACCTGTTTCTATCAGAACTTCAAAGAACACAGAGAGGCCTGTGAAGAAGGTGAAAATTAATGTCAATCATAGGACAGGACTCTAAGCTTTTAGGTAGGGAAAGAGGCTTGCTGCCGAGCCCAGCTGTCTGTTGGACACACCAGCGGAAGGAGAAAACTTGGGCCCTCGAGTTGCCCCTTTGTAGCTATTTTTGCATGCATGTATACAGCTTGAAACTTGTGCTGGACATTTATTTTCACCGGGCTTTCCTCAATTACTTGCTAGAAACTGTCTCCATCATTTTATTTATTGGCTACTTCTCAATTACATACTCCCCAAAATTCAGTGACTGCCCTATGTGTGTGACAATGTACTTGTTCGTGTGCCCATGTGTGCTCATTTGATCAAACATTTTTATTAGTATAAATTCTTTCAAGGAAGTTGCTACACGGGTGCACTTTGAACTTAGTAAACCATTTTAATGTCACTATCATTTACATAAGTACCTACTGTTTACTTTATATTTTATTATTTTTTTTAACCATTGCCAGTGTCTTAAACATCTTTTGTTTAAATATATTACTAGTTATGACTTTCAATATTTGTTTTGGTCTTTCGTATTTCTTTTCTTTTTGTATTTTTTGGAATTAAACCAATTTTCCCATTGGAGATTATTATGTGTGTATTTCTATTTACTTGGGGTGTGGCATTACTTACCACAGCATGTGTGTGAATGTCAGAGGACAACTTTTGGGAGTCAGTTCTTTCCTTTGACTTAGTGTGTTGCGGGTATCAAATAGTTTGTCAGGGTAGGCAGCAAGCCCCTTTACCACTGAGTCACCTCACTGGCCTTCTACTCTTTGTGAGTGTGTGTGAGTGAGTATGTGTGTATGAGTGTGTATGTGTGAGTGAGTATGTGTGAGCATGTTTGTGTGTATGTGCGAGCATGTGCATGTATAAGTGTGTGCATGTATAAGTGTGTGTGTGTATGTGTGAGTGAATGTGTATAAGTCAGTGTATGAATGTGTATGTGTGTGTGTGAGTGTATATATTATGAGTATGTGTATGTATGTGTGAGTGTGAATATATGTGTGAATGTATGTGTGTGTATGAGTGAGTGTGTAAATGTGTGTGTGAGTGTGTGAGTGTATATATGAGTGAGTGTGTGAATGTGTGTGTGAGTATGTATGTGTGAGTGAATGTGTATACGTGAGTGTATGAATGTGTATGTGTGTGAGTGTGTGAGTGTGAATGTGTATGTGTGAATGTATGTGTGTAAGAGTGTGTGTGTGAGTGAATGTGTGTGTATGAGTGAGTGTGTGAATGTGTATAAGTGAGTGTATGAATGTGTGTGTGTATGTGTGAGTGTATGTGTATGAATGTGTGTGTGAGAGTGTACGTGTGTATGAGTGAGTATGTGAATGTGTGTGTGTATGAGTGTGTGTGTGTGTGCGTGTATGTGTGCACTCACATATGTTAAGAGTGGTTAGGTCTTGCTATATAGCTCTTGCTGATGTGACACTGGTTCTCTAGAGTAGGCTGGTCTCAAGCTCACATCAATCCCCCTGCTTACCCCTCCTGAATGTTGAGATTACAAGCGAGATCCACCACACCTCACTTCTCTGTTTTGTTTTGTTTTTAACTTGAAGCAGCATTTATTAAAGATGTGGATATTTTGCCTTCCAAGTTAAACATTTTTATAGCATTATTAATTTAATTGTTGATTAGATATCTCAATTTTCCTTGCAATTTATAGCTTTCACACCATACCAATAAAGTCTATATTTAATCTAAGTAGCATTCTAAAAATTCTCTTAAATTTATTCAGGAACTTCATTACTTTTGGTTGGTGCAAGGCATAGATCCAAGGCCTCCTGCATGCTAGGCAAGTGCTTTACCGGTGACCTGCAAGCGCTCTATTGGGAACTACACTCCAGTTACTCAATAAGCATTTTAAATCAGTGTTTTATTACATCCTTTGATAGATATCAAGGGTCCAAGTTGGCTCTTCATTCTAGAAACTCAGAATCAATGTATCAAGCTGTGTGTAAATCATACCTTTTTAACATTACATTGTTTTCTAACAGTGGCTAAAATAGCAAAAATGCAGAGAAGGAAAATACATAGCTTTATCTAAAATACTGAACTAGAAACTTTATGTAACTAGTCTTGTTTGGTTG